GCCACTCAAGGATTTATGAAATAATTTTTTTTTAGCCCCTACTTCCCATTCTTCTTCGCTTTTAAGTAACAAAGAACCATCTTTTTTGTTTGCGCCCAGCGGATTTCGGTTGCGGCTTCTGCGGGTTTCCTCTGTTCTCGTTTTTTCTGTTAAAATTGCATTCGAAATGACAAAGAATTCACAAGACGCTTATATGGAGGTAAATTAAACGGCAACCAAACCACCTGTCGATTTCTTGCTGTTCGGGGGGACATCCTTATAAAGAGGGAATTATATGGATAGAAGTCTTTGAAAAAAAAAAAATTTCAGAACTCTAAGGGCCAATTGTTGTTAATTCTAGTCTTCGACAATGATAATTCTAGAGTACTTGATTTTTGGTATTAAGTTCCTATTTAAAATATAAGGCGAATGTGCTTAAAATTATAATTCCTAAATTAAAGTACATTGTCAATAAATGAAATATTTAAAGTCCCAAAATAATAAATTCATAGCAAATAAATTTAAACAAATAAAACTTTAACAAATCGAAAAGCAAGTTCTAAATGTCTTTAATGTAAATACTCCTAATTTAAGCACCTGCTTTATCGAATTAGAATCTGGCGTACCTTAAATCATTAGCGTTGGCCATTTCTGCTGACCCATAACCCAAGCCAATCCACCTGCTCACCAGAAATCCCAGCCCATTTCGTTTCGGCCGACCCTCCCCCGCCTTCATCACACCCACCTGAGAAAAGGAAAACAGAAATTAAAAGCACAAAAAATGATAAGCCATAAATTGCCCGCCCAAAAGTCTCAAAACAAATACGAGTTCTCCTTCACAGCAAAGCAATTATGGAAGCGATGAGGAGCTGGGTCCCTGGGACCCTGGTCTATAGCCTATGGCCCATAGAACGGGTTGGATTGGGCCGGGTCGGGGCTGCAGATACAATTAAAAGTACAATTTTTCATATGCATTGGCAATCGGTGTGATTGCAGCTGCGTATCTGTTGGGTTAATTCGTATCTTGGCAATCGATCGAACCATTTGCTGCTTCTCGATGGCAAAAAAGTTTCAATTAGAAAAAAGTCTAGTTGTAACTATTAGAGGAGGATATCGAAGTTAACGGGGAAAAGGGAAATACGTTTGGATTTGGGGGTGTAACCCGTAATCTTTGTTATGAAATTAATTTCAAATACACTTTTTGCAAAGGGTTTATTGAAAATGTTACCAAGTTGCCAAAAATACAAATACTAAACTGTGAGTTTTAGGAAAATGTGGTATGTACATAATATACAAATAGTAACGTCAGTAACATTTATTTTCCATTTCAACACCTCTACTTGCTATATGTAAAATATCTTTTGAATCGCACTTTCAAGTTTTTAACAGTACTAAAATCCATCTTAAGATTATAGGCTTGACTGAATTTATAAAAATAATCTAAAAATTAATTTCAAAATTCTTCCAACACTATACCAGATTCCAAACTAATATCATTATACTACTTTTTTAAATCAGCATGTCCGAAAACCAAGTATAACAATTTATGCAAATTAGTAGTTAATCTTAAAGTAGCCACCTATCTTAAAGAGCATTTCGATTAACTCCAAATCAAATTCCAAAGTTCATTTGGCTAGTTCCGTTCGCGTGTTGCCAGTCTTGAGCGTTGGCAACTAATTCGATTTGTTTGGCCGGCCATTAAATGCATAAAGGATCATCGCGCTGCAGATCTCGCTTTGCGGTTTCTGCGGCCCGCTAACATATGTTGCATTAATTGTTCATGTTGCCTCAAAAGCAACTCGTGTTCAATGGGTTTTATTGCTGCTCGACACACACAAACAGCGAAACGAAACAAAACAGTCTTTTTTCTTTTCGCAAGCTGGAGAGGCACGAAACAAATGAAAAGAAAAATTGCGCACAAAACATTTTTCATTACGTGATTTTCGAGCATGATGCCGAGGGTATAGGGCGGGGGTTCTGAACAACCAAACAACCAAACAGCCGAACAACCAAACAACCGAAGTGGCGACAGCCGGCAAAGTGCCATGTATACAACGGCAACAACAAAAACAACAACAACAGCAGCAGAGTGCAGAGGGGTTAACTTAACAGCAGCCACAAGGATCGCATCCCATCGGATCGGATCGAATCGTATGGGTATGAGTATGGGTCTCGAGCCTCGAGATTCGCCTGCAAATCTTCGCCTTTGCATTCCCACACGCGATCTCAATCGCAGCCAAAAGCTAAAGATACATGCCCCGGCAAGCTAAGCAGCTAAACAGCAGATACAAATGTATCTATGCGCTGCAGTCGCGACTCGCGACTCAATTACAATTTATTAAAAGCCGCGCAAACTGATTTATAACCAGCGACTCATTGGAGGAAGATGCAGCCAAGGGTTGCCTAGATTTTCTCAGCCAAGGACTATGGGTTAAATACCAATTAATCCAAATGTTATTTTAGTCGCTTTGCAACTTACATTTATCTTTCTTTTTTAAACAGTTTTTAATGGATTAACTTTTTTTAAAAATGTTTCCTATCAAAAAAAGGTCCTTTTAAATATTTCAACCCAATCCAAAATAAATTTCTATATGAACTAAAGTACAAAATGGTGCACATTGTATTTGTGTTTTTAAGGATTTAACGACTTTAAATTGGTTAACCATGATAAAGTATTTGGAAATTTATTGAATCTTACTTAATTTTAACTAAACTCTTTATATGTTATAAAACTTTAACTTAAAGGTTTTCAGTGATTATTTGGAATTAAAATTAAATTTTTTAAGAATGTTTAGCGTTTACTTGATTTTACCAATTGATTTCGCTTAACAACCATTTAATTTAAGTCATTCCACATCTTAGCTTTTATTTTTTATATGTTTTGCTAGTCAATTATCCCATGGTACCCGTGTTCACGTGTCTGCAGAGTTGACGTAGTGTCTGGCGGGTTTCGCTTGCCTTGCTTCAGTCGTCTGGTCTTTGGACTATCTGCCCTATAGTGGGGGCAAATTGGCGGCTTATTTGTGTGTGGAAATTGCCTGCCATGCTGTTGCCTTTTTTGCTTTTGCCAAATGGAGGCCCAAGGTAAAAGGATGAATTCGGAGCTGGGAGTTGCAGGTAAAGGTAAAGGTGGAAGTCGAAGTAGATGTAGAGCCCCAACAATATGGCGCCTGGGCCGCTGGTGGTGACAGTTGCTTGTCAACAGCATACACGACCCACGATCCGGGAGGAGAATCATGATCTATGAGCCCTGACAACAGCTACAATGAGAGAGCTGTTAGATGTTCCTTAGATGATCTATGGCCGGTCATGAGCAAGGTTCTTACGAAAGGGGTTTATAAATTAATTTTATGCTAAGAAGATCTTCCGGAGTTACGATTAAGAACAAAAAGATACTCAGCTATTAAGTTAATTAAGAACTGCATACAATTTATTGTCATTATTTGTAATCACAAGCGAAACTACATTACTTCTTTATTTCAATTCATTGTTTTTGGTCTTCTTTAGTAAGGGCAACTTCATAAACCTTGAGACCTTAAAATCTCCCAGATGCATCTCTCATATTAGACATTGTTCCTATGATTAACCAAGTTTTAACTGGACCAAAAGACCGCCCATCAAATAAATCTGATTTATTGTCAACCAGTTTTAGCGAAACGCCGAAATAACAGTTATATATGAGCAAGGACCCTTCAATAAAACTTAAAATTAATGCATTTAACACAAAATATGATTGCCACAACTTAAGTCTCGTCTCGAAGGGAAAAAGGGCAGCAATCGAGTGGGAAACCCACAATCAGCTAAACGCTGCACGTTGCCAGTGAGAAATTAACGAGAATTAAGCGACCTGCCCACTAATGCTCCAGATCCAGCGACACAAATTTCTCCCATACCCCTTGTATTGCCCTTTTTTTTTTGGTTCAGGACGAACATAGCAATCAACAGCATTCCTTTTAATTTTAACTTTTTGCTGAGATGCGCCCCGAAAATCAAAAAGTCCAAATCAAAACCAATAATAAAGTTAAATCGATAATTGAGGTCAGGTCGGAAAGGTATTTTTGGAGTGTGTTCGGGGCTCGGAGATATGGCGAAAAACATTTTCGAGGCCTTTGGCGTACATACGTGATCGTTTAACTGTAAATTAAATATAATTTACCAATAATCATAATCACAATATGCAGTTTCTGTTTTCTGAATCCGATTCCGCATGGTTTCTGCTCGCCAATCAGAGATTGAGAGCTGATCCAAAGTGATTTGATCCCCTTGAGCCAGACGCATAAATCATCATCTGGCGTAAACATTTTATGGATTCTGGATCGATAACTGTCCAAACGCGCGCCTCGCAGCTGATGGCCAAAAAATATAAGAAAAAAGAGACAAGAATTCGCCGGGTTCGCTGATCGATTGGTTTTCGTATCTTTTTTTTTTGGTTGCGGGTATCTCACGCTCCTCTGATGAACGTTTGCCTGGGTGCTATAATTAAATGCTAAAATCGCATAGACTGGCATATGTTAGATCAAATTGAGGCCCCGCACACAACAAATTAATCTGCGAAGCATAAAGGCCTTTATATAGACAGCAATTAAACAAAGGTACATCCTATGCCAATGATTTCGGATCATTAATTCAACAAATCGACAGTAATAGCGCTTCCTGTTACTTGAATTATGTTATGGTAACAGTTTTTTGAACATTTGTTTTCAATACATTTTACTAAAAAATGCCAAAAACGTTTCTTCCGTATTTATTTTTTATGTCCAAAACATTATATTGCACTTGTTTAGGATTTAAAAAAAAGAAAAACCCACATATAGAGTCAACCAAATTCAAGTGATATATATATATATGTATATATTCATTAGTCATCTTTAAAATTTCCATTATTAAGCCACCATTTTGCCATGAATTTAAAACTGTTAAATACTTTTGGCAACTGGCTTAAATGCTTTAATTTTTGCCCACTTTTTGTCCCGGCCGCAGATACCTCCAAAAAATCAATGAAAACACAGTTTGTCGCTTCATTATTTTTGCAATAATAATTTATTATTATATATTATTTTTAAACTTTTTCGCTTGGTTGTTGGTGTGTTTTTGTCTGTCTGTTGTCGGTTGCTGTATTATTTTAATCGTATTTATTATATTAATTTCTGTGTTTTTATTGCGAGCGGCGAAATTTTGCACAATATTTAAACCGTTATTGTTGTTTGCTGATTCGCGGAATTATTTGTTCTTTGACTATTGTTATGACTAAAGTTAATGTTTGTATATATATAGGGTGTATATATAATAGCATATGAAGCGTTTAAATAGTTTTTAATGTCAATTTTTGATCATTTTTCCTTCATTATGTTTTCTGTTTTGCTTTTGTAACGGGCATACAAGTTTGTTTTGTTTAGCATTTATTATTAGTATTTATTATTAGATATATATAATATGAATTATTGTTTACCGCCTAGGCAAGTGAAATACTTGAAGTTAATTATTTTTATATACTATTTTTTAGTATTACGGGCTTACTGCACTCCTGCTAGGCTAGTGAATAAATTAAAATCTTAGCTTTAGGAAAATTACATCGTAAAATAAATCAAAGGTTCATCCATCATTAAAAACACTAAAAAGCGGTTCGTAAGATTTACCTTCTTTACTTCCTACATATCTACGTATTACTTTATATATTATATGTCCAATTACATAGATTTTTGTTACATTTTTATACTCAAATTGAAGCTATATCGTAAGGTTTATAAGCAATGCTAAAAATGTTTTTTTTTAGGGAAGTTAAATGCTAGGTAATGCCAACTGCCTACGCGGGTTTTCAGCTTATCGATTTTCAATTCTTTTAAAAGTCTTTCGTATCGGCTGCTATATACAACGTAACTGTAAACTTACAACTGAACGCTATCGGATCTAAGCACTCTAAATGGGTTATCGGAAGTTCTGCATCTTTTCACTATATGTTCTCTATATACAAAATGGCCGTTCCAACGTTTGCAACGTTCTCAAAACTCCTATGCATTTTCGTCTTCTTTTTTAACACTCTTAAGTATTTACACCTTATGTTCTTCCACTCCCACTCAATAGTCGCCGCCGCCGGATTGGATTGCACTCTGAGATCAAATAAATCCTCGCCAGCTCACCTGCCAGGCAATTAATTGGCGCTGCCGAAGAGTACGGAGTTTTTGTAATAGGCCGTCGGTCGCTCTGAAAGCGGACTTTTCACGTCCCGCTCGGCATTGGCGGCCCGGCTTTTGCGCTCCATCTCCAGCTCTTGGGCCAGGGATTCTGTAAAGAATCAGACAAATGCAAAATTGGAATTTATAGACAATTTAAAAGACATAATAACTGATCAAAGCCAGACCGTAAGTTTGATAATTTTTAAACAATAAACAAATAATTGTGGGGTTCTCTTAAATTAAATATCTTTTAACAAAGCGCTCATGTTATTTACTAAGCGTTTAATTTTAATGCTATGTATTTATAATTGATTATGATTATAGGTTTATTACATTTTGCATGAAGAGTATTTAGTCACCAAGGACAAAATATAAACACAAATTACGGAAACACTTTCTATTTTTATTTATTTGAATGTCATTTTAATTGTCATTTAATTATTTTAAATAAATATTTTAAAACTTACAAAAATTATATATCTTCTTTTTAACACTTTACAGGAATAAATTTAGTTGAACCAAAATATCTGATTCAAGCTCCAAACTCACCGGAATAGTTCTGCCAGAAGGCTCCGGTGGCCATCAGATCGATGCCCGGATAGCTCCAAGGACCCTTTCCGTTGCTGGCGGCCGCCGCTGCCGCTGCTGCTGCGGCTGCTGCTGCAGCGGCCAAGCTGCCTTCGGCAGCAGCAGAGGCAGCTGATCCGCTGGGCGGCCGATCGTCCCGGTCGCGACTACCGCACCTGTAAAAAACAAAAATATATAATCAAATTAATTACATAGAAGCTGATATGAAAATAAGTTATTGTTATACGCTTAACAATATTATATAAAACAAAAAAGAAAGCAAACTGTTCGGCAAGCCTTGCACCAATTCCAAAAATATAGGTATATTTGTTAAAACAACTACAGTAAAACCACAATTGTGAAATAACAGATTACTATATATACAAATCAATTAAAAAACATCGAAACAATAAATTTTTTCAGAACAGCATGGACCGCAGCATGGACTTCAGGAAAAATACTACGAAATAAGAAGTGATTAGTGAAAGTTTCAAATACCTTTTAGAGTTATCTTCGTCGTGGGTGGCCAATGAGGCGGCGGAGGACCGTGGCTGGCGCTCCACGGAGCCCTCGTGATCCGAGTGTGGCTCCCGCTTGAATTGGGTGGGGGAGTCCGGGCAGTTGAGGGCAACGGAGATGGAACCGGAAGCGGATCCAGCCGAATGTCCGGCAGTCACATCACAGGAGGAGTTGGAGCCCAGCGATTTGTCCGATTTTTCACTGCCGGCATCGTTTTCTACGGAAGATGGATGGAATAGAAGAGGGCGCTGTGTTGGTTAAAAAGCGTAGGGTGGCATTTTGGGGAGGGTGGAATGGGGTAATTTATCATTTGGGTGGTCAGTTGTGTTGGTCAATTTAGTTTTTAAAGATATATTTATTTACGAATGGTTATATGCAACCTAACTTATCGAACTTCGTTGATTTTTTTGTTACTTTTTTATTTAATATCCTTTCTCTACTTAAATTGTTTATATTTTGTTTTAAAAATTTCCAAGTTGGGAATAATATTCACATTTTATAATAGTATTGAGATTAATAAAAATAAAAATATTGAGCTTAAAAAACATCGAAACAATAATTTTCTTACTTTATTGAAGGACGTTTTGAAAATTTGTATTGCTTTTATTTTAATTATAGTTATTAATTAGATACTTTAATAGAATCTACGTGACTTTAGGCTTTAAAATTTATAGTTGATTTAGCTCATTTTCATAATCAATATCTGATTGGAGAGGAATGGAAAGTGGTGTACGGAGTGAAATAGGTAATGGGTGGTACAGGATTTTGGGGGATCTGTTAGCCATGCGTTGTGCGTGTCCTTGACCCCTTGAAACTTACCTTTCATTGTTTCCACATCGCCGCCGTGGCTGCTGCTATTGCTGTTGTTATTGTTGTTGTTGTTATTGTTGCACTTGGTATCACCTCCCCCGCCGCCACAAGCCTCCGATTCACTGCAAGCGGATCCGGATCCACCGCCCCCGCTCCCGTTCGCATTCGGACTGCCCTTCGTCGCACTGCTGCCGCCACCAAGTTGCTGCTGATAGCGGATGCGAATCTTCCGCTCGCGTCGAAAGCGTTTCTGGTAGAGCACTAAAAATGTAACAACAAAATAAAGGAAACATTTTAATGTCACAAGAATTGAATTTTTGCCATTTGATTCGATGGTTCTTAATTTACTTAGATAACATACTGTAAAATTCTACATGTGTACATATTATTTCAAAATAAATGTATTTTCAAAATTTAAAAGTTATAGGAAACGAAAATATTTAGGTTAAATTTTTTGAAATCATAAACTGATAGATTGCTATAACTGACCCACTGCGAAATACCACCTCACCACCGCAAATCATGATGCGAACATTAACACGAAATTCTTTCCACGGAAATGTCAGGAGATACGAAAAGAACAGTGCCCCGAGAACAGAGCAACAGCAAATACTAAGCCTACTGAGCTGATAGATCGTGCGGCGATCTCTAAATGGTAACTGGTAATTTGATCGATTCAAACGATTCTGGGTCTCTCCGGTTCTGGTTTTCCATCTGGCTTTAGTTCTGGCCTTAGTTCTCTGACTCGTTGCCTGTGCCAATTCAAGTGCGCATCCGGCCGTGTGTGTGGGCGCAATTATGTTTATTGATCCTGACTTGCAATCATTCCAGATCGCGAGTCATAGAAAAAAATACAACAACAAAAAAATAACAAATTTTGCACTCAGAAAAAAAGATAATAACATAACATTCCCTAAAGCTTCATTAGAAAATTGTAAACAGCAAGTCGAATATTTGACAAGAAATTAAAAGTTATTAAACTATTTTCTAACATAATTTAATATACAAACTTAAAGAAAAGATATTTATTTGATTTGTTTTATTAATAACTAACAAGCTCTTGCATTAAAAATATATTTTGGTCCTTCACAAAATATTTCTCGAGATTTTTTTTAATTCCTTCAAGATTTATTAAACAATTTGTTTATTTAGAAGGAGAATTTCTAGATTTTTTCGAGTGCCCCTGATCGACGATGTCGATGTGGATGGATGCGATGAAGCGTGGTGACAGCCGTTTTGAGGGTGGAGCCGAAAACTCAACCTCAAATCAAACCCAAAACTGTTTCAGGCATATTGAATTTCAGCGAGGATCGGTTCATGGCATTGCCCTCCATCTGCAGCTCCATTCCATTCGATTTTCGCTATTCCACCCAGCCAGCACCCACGCTCTGCCGTTACAAATGGCCAATTGTTGCCATGTTCTGAACTCGAAAAGTGGAAACACAAACTCGTACATGGCTGCAATTTTTATCGCCGGCGTTATTATTAGTTGCAATTAGATGTCTATGTGCCTGTGTGGCATTTTGCATAGTTGCATGCAATTTTTTCGGTTTTAGTTTGCTGATTTATGTGTTGCTTTTCCCTCCATAATTTTCCCACAAAGCGAGGGGAAAGGAGATTAAGTTATGGCCGGGTCGGTCAGTCCGGTGGGCAATTATAGTCTGCCCTGGTTCCCTTTGTTTTCGCATTGTAATTCAGCTGGTTTTGTTTTTGTTTTACTTTTTTTTTGGGTGGAGCTCTGTTTTTTTGGGTGGCTCAATGGCGGCTTCTGAATTTGAGGGCTGCCTTTGAGCTGGCCTAATGAATTGCACTTGATTGCTGAGCAGGAACCAATATATGGATTCATTTTTTGGCATATTCAATTGAAAAATTAGCGAGTACAAGAGCTAGTAAGTGGTACATTACCAAATTACTTCTAAATAGTAGCAGCTAATTTTGCAGTTTTTATTTTTCAACAAGTGATTTATGAATTCGAAATAAACTTTACAAAAAAATCCTAAAAGGAAATCCCAGCTCATTTTAAAACCGTGTACTAATATAAAAAACCCTAAATAATTAAAATAATATAATTTTTCTTATCATACTTCATGTAGGATTAATTTTTGTTAATTGGCTGAATGGATTCCGTTCTCTAAACTTCCTTCAATTAGGCTTAGTTCTTCTCCATCGCTGCCCTTTGTAGAGGTAATCAACCCTTAGCCCGTGACAACCCTTTTAAGGTCTTTTCAAGAAGTCATCACAAGCAAACGCCAGAACAACAACCAATTAAAGGATTTCTGTCTCTGCAACTCAAATTCCAGCTCCCCATTCTGAACTCCAATTCCAATTCCAACCCACTCCCATTTTTGTTTGGCTACTTTTTGCCAATCATTCGAGTGTAACTAAATAATGAAATGATATTAAATTCATTTGAATTGTGATTTCTGTTGAAAAAGAGGCCCGGAGCCAGAACAGCAGCCTGAACCTTAAAACCCTTTATTTTTTTGTCCCGCAACCTGGCGACGACCACCAGAGTGGAGGGGTTAAGGGGGACCGCAGGGGTTAAGGGGGGGGCATTCGCAGACAGTCGGCATATCAGGTGTCATTGTCATTTGAGTCAGATTGCATTAAGTGCGCCCGATTGGAGTCGGAATCGGCATAGGCAGAGCGAAGGAGCTGGCCGGGATCTGAGTATGAATCTGGATCTGGAGCTAAATGCGGACATGGACGTGGGGATGTGGATGTGGCGCACTGTCAGCACTGATTTGCTGCGGCAACTAGGGATGGATCGCCCCTCACAGTGGTCTGACGCTAATGCGGACCGGTTTTCAATTGAAGAAAAGCTCAAGGCAAAAATAGAAATAATATCTAACAACACGACAGGAAATACATTATTTTTTTTTAAGGCAGTTTAAAAAATGTAAAATAAAGCTTGTTATATTTTATATGTTTTCCTTTTACGTTTTTAACTTCTGTTTTTTTTTAAAGTAAATGTTAAAAAGTTTTATTGGGTACACCCGATTACATATTTAATATTTCCAACCATTTATAATTATTATTATTCTTGTACTCATTTTTTCAATAATTCAACTAATTATTCAACTCACCTCTCAGTTTACGTTCATCGACAAGCTGGCGTTCCAACGAATCTTTGACTTCGCGCTCTCGCAGAACATCCATCTTTAGCTCAGCTAAAATTAAATTAAAAGTAAAATATTTAATAATTAATAACCAGGAATAAAAGCCTTGTAAAGTCTTAGGTTCCATTAAAAAAGATTGGTTATAAAATGTAAACGTAATAGTTTTTAAAACTCACCTTTTTCGTAGCTGATTTGCCGCTCCTGCTGTCTGGCATTATCCGCGGCCACCTTGAGCAGGCTCTGGATATTCCGGAGCAACGTTTCCGTGGAGCTGGCTGGAACCGCCGCATGAGCATCGATGCCCAACGGTCCCAAGGCCAGACCGCCGGCCAGGGCGGCGGCATCGTTGGCCGCCAGGAGCGCCTCGTTGGGGGTGAGGGCACCACCGCCGCCTGCCGGACCATTGGCGACCGCACCACCGCCCACTGCCGCTCCATTGGCCGCCGCTGCGGCTGCCGCCAGTTGCGAGTAGTTCAAGGCTCTTTGGTGCTGGAGGGCGGCAGCGGCTGCCTCGGCCGACGTGGGGGAACCCCTCTGGTGCTGGGGCACCACGCCCAGGTGGGACAGACCCACCGTTTGGTGGTGGTGCGTGGCCGCATGCTGGTGCAGCTGGTGGGCCGCCGCCGCTGCTGCAGCCGCTGCAGCTGCCGCCGAACCGGTGGACAGATTATCACGTTCCGTGTCACTCAAATCTGTCAGAAAATGCAGGAATTCCGAAAGGAGTCAGTCAGAAGTTGTCACATAGCACAAATTTATCGGTTATCGCACATCATGCACTGCTTATCGTGCGTTTCTCATCGCTTATCGCACATCTCTGGAGCAACAAGAGGAATCACTGTAAAGTTCACTCACCTTCGTCTTCTTTGGCCAGGCAGCGTTCATCGACTTCGGATTGGTTCTCGTCGCTTAAATTCTCCTCCTCCTCTTCGTCGTCCTCCACCCCGATAATCCCGCCGCCCACATGGGAGGCCACGCCCCCGCCGACGCCACTGCGACTGCCCTCGTCCAGACTCCGGGAACCCCCTCTTCCTGGGGATCCTGCCACCGAATGGCAGTCACTTCGCTCGCTGCCCGCGTCACAGTTGCTTCCGCCGTGGTCCGTGTTTCCGCCGGACTTGCTCAGATTCAACACAGGACTCTGGCGCGTCGGGGAGCCTAAAAAATTTGAAGAAAAATCCGGCAATATACATTATTGTATAATTTTTTTTTAGGATCATTTTAGTTTTAAATGAAATTTTGTTCCAACATTAAATACTTGGTAGGTTTATTATATACCTATGATGTAAATGACAATGTCAACAAAATGTACATGCTGAACAAATTTGTGACTTTTTATTAGGTATACTTAAAATTGTAATATCTGATTCTAATTATAATTATAAAGTTAGATAGTGAGATACTCACAATTTCTGGAGCTGAGATCCCTGGGCTTGTGTTCGGCCACCATCACATTTCCGACCCGATCGACGACCGCACCACCTACGCCCATCACCTGCTGCCGCTCGTCCGTCCGCTCCTCCCGCAAACGCTCCAAGTGCTTGACGATATCCTCGTAGGCCGCTCGGCAATTCTCCCAGATTCCGGATCTGGCCAAGGCGTCCATATTGGCCGCCGACATACCGGCGTTTTGGGCGGCGGCCTTGAGCATCTGGCTTTCTGGACGGGCGTGCAATCCGTGAGGCGGCATTCCCGGCGACATGAGAGCCGCCGCTCCAGGATGGTGGGCGTTCATCTGCATGAAGGCCATGTGATTGATGGGCGGTGGATTGTAGCCATTAGCCAGAAGGGGCGACTTCATATCTGAAAAAAAGGAATTGAATATGGAAATATTTAATATAAAGCGAAATACATTTTTAAAAATTTAATTCATTGCATTTTATCTTTACGATTGGAATTATGGTAGTTTCTCTAAGCCAAAACATTTTAGTTGTTTTTGTTTCTTAAATAAAATAAAAAAATAAATAAAATATGACAATTTAGTTCGTTTAAAACCTATATAAATGTTGAAATGTTATTTAATTATTTATTTTAAAAATTCTATTTTTATAGTCAGTTTGCTAAAATGTCATTAAACATATTTCCTTGACCACTTAAACGTTAATCAATAATTACTTTGCTTTTGCCCTGAACCTTGGTAAATATTTTAATTTCAAAATGCATTGGCCCATCCTCCACAATATTTGCCTTTCATTTTGATGGCTCGTCCAACTGACACCTGTTCCTGTCTGTGTCTGTGTCTGTGTCTGCCAAATATATATATTAAATATATAGATATCTATGTATGGCATGTCTATTGTCTGAGCGGCCAGACTAAACACAACAACTGAAAACACCCACACACACACACTGTAGATGTATAGGTACTTTCGTATATGTCGTGTGTAACTACGGCTGTCATTTGTTTGCACAGCCTGTATATGCATTTAGACAATTTAGAGGGCCATTAAATGCTTTAAAATTCACTAAATGGCATTATACATTGTAAATTGGCAAATATTCGTTCGCTTTGGAATGCAATTAAACGACGGTTCATATGTGAAAATGCAGTTAAAAATTTATAGAAATGCGTTGTACACTTTTCATTAATAATGCAATATCACTCAAGTATCAACGCCCCATAATTCACTCAGAGAACCTTTTCTTTATGGCCAGGAATGACGAGGCGAAAAAGCGAACAGTTTTCAGACCCATCTTCGTTTTAGAAGGCGCCGGCGGCGCATGGTTCTAAAGAAAGAGATTTCGAGATTTCTTTCGATTGGGCTTTTGTTGCTGCTCGAATATAGTATCTTTCAATATTGTGCGTTTCGGACACATTAATAGAATGGGGCGTTGGCCAAGTTGTCAGCCCAGCTCTTTCTCACTGTTTGGCGATCATAGAGAAATATGTAAAAATCAATTAAATATGAGAGAGTCCGCTTGTACTTATCATAATTACAGCCACAGATACAATTCGAAAATTCAACTGAATGCGATTTCCTGTGCCAGTACAAATCACAGTGGAATTTGAGTTGATTGTGGCTCTGGCTGCCATTTATCTGTGGCTCTGGCTGTGGCTGTGGCTCTGACTCTGGCTGGGAACGTAGCCCAAGTATCTGTATCTGTAGCTGTGTATCCGTTTCGTTTTTGTTCGTTTTGGCAGCTGTAAGCTGTAATCAGCCAACAAGCAGCGACCACAAATCACAAATGGCGGCAACGACGACGATCACCGATCGATTGGGAAAGCACAGAAACACAAAAACACAACGGCCGCCGCCGCCGATCCCCGAAAGCGAGTTTTGTGTTCAATCTGGGAATGATTTCATTACCATTCGAATCCGAATTCGTGGCCCCTCCGGCCATGCCACTCAATTGTGTGAGAATTGCAATTGGCAGCGGCAAGTGGGTGGTTTCGGTGCACAGAAAAAATAGTCTTAGCTGTTGGTTTTCTTTTCAAAAAAAACGCATACTTTTTAAAACTAGAAATTTTTATATATTTTTCTGTTACTTAAAACAGTATGGCTCAGAAAACATTCTAGTTAAGGATTCATTTTGTTAATTAAGGTCACTCTGCCGACTTTAATAGACTGACTTATACGGTCAAACAAAGTGCGTTTTAAAAGTAATATTTTTCCCTGCGTATATGCAATGTTTTGCGATTACTTACCACTAATGTGCCCATTTTCATAGGCATAGTCCCCGTTGTCCAGGCGATGCTTCTTCAACTGTGGATGCTGCGATAGGTGAGTGGGCGGAAGGGAAAGCCCCACGGGTCCCCTTTTGGGCGGTCTACCCGGTCTGGAACTGCGGAATTGCAGAGAGTTACTGTTGGGTTGAGAGCAATGGATAATATCCGTGGTATCAGTACAAAAAAATGCCAAATGCCTCAGCACAGTGATCACAATTCAGCAATTTTATGGGAGGATAAGTGGGAGAGATCAAATGCTAATTTCTGCATTGTGCTGCTGCATTTTCACGCTAATTATTTGGTTTGATTTATTTACATAAGAAATTAAGAAAAGGTAATTGTTGATGCCTAATTACAACTTGAGAGTTTTAAGATCGAAATTAAAAAAAAAAAAATGTAATAAAATGCAAAGGGATTAATTACAGAATTAATGAATAAGTAAATACCAATAAGTAAAGCACATTTTAGAACTTGTATATACATATAAAAACCGCGGTAGATATTTTAAATTGATTTAAGGGCCTCGCCATGATTTATATCCGTCAGACCATGCTGAATATTTTAAAATAATATTGTTGTAAGTTCTTTAGTTTTATTTGCTTCTGTAAAAGCCCGCGGATTGCCTTTAACAAAAAGTGTCTATAATTTTTTGATGGCCTGTCTCGCCATTAACGCATCCTTCACGGGGTTTAACTATTCTGAGGAATCTCGCTGTTTAATAATTTCCCCCATACGAAAATGCCATTCTTAAGTTGTATCCCCTGCCTCTCGCCCACAAGTTGCATTGCCTAATTAAGCTTTAGCCAACTTTAGTGAGCACCCCGTTGACTTGAGACAAGTAAAAAGCCAAAAACGAGAAGAACGAAAACGTGCTACCATTTTAATTATGTGCCATAAAAAAAATGTACAACCCGAAACAGCAACAATAATAAAGTGAAGCCACAAAGAGAGGAAGAATAAAAATGAGTTAAACTATTTTTTCTAGTAATTTATGCCCGCAATTGCTGTTATTTGTATATAAAATATTTAAACAGGTCTTGTGCAAATACTTGACGCAGACGCAGGTTAAGCTAAATAGTTACCCGAAAAGGCATAAACAACTTGGCGCAGCGGGTGGAAGTTATGACAAACAAGAGATAAAACCCGGGGGCCGGAATCCTAAAAACTGACTAACTGCAGCAAATACTACAAGGGGAGCCGGGTCTTGATCAAATAGAGCGACCCCTGGCCCACCTGTCCGATGCCTTCAGATGGTTCCTAGCAATTAAATTATGGAATCTTCATTCCATGTTTGCCGCTTGTACACAGGTGCCCGCTTAGAAGCCAAAGCTAAAGCCAAAGACAAAGACAATGGCAAATAAACACAGGTAGCAATGATCGTGTGCACGATATGAATTACGATGCACTCACTTGCGTATCTACTTCATTCTTTATATATATGGCGAAACTCTGAACAATTTGTAATTGTGCGTTCTTCGGATAACGATTCTACCAAATATTTACCATTACATATTGCCACAGCCAATATTTGCGGCTGGATTTTAATTGTGCTCCATTAAATGTTTAACGGCAAACAATGCGGAGTTGTTGTCTTGGCCTCTTTGGGTCAAATAAAGAGACTCTCCATGCCATGAATCATTCCGAGAATGAGAATGAAAACAATCTTTTCTCGAGGGGCCAGCGAAAGTGTTTCTGGGATCTAATCGGAAGGCCGTTCCCCCGGGTTATGACGTGCAAAAATCTGGGACTCGTGCGTCTGTCAGTCAACTTGTATGAATTTATGAGAAGTGGGTTGGAGGTTGTGCGGCCAACACTTTCATTGGAAAGTTTTCGGCTCTGAAGCGCTGACATGTTTGTCTTGTGCAGAAAATTTGGTTTCACTAGAATATGTTTTTCGCATAGTATCTGGATAAGATATACGTGATGGTCACATGGTGATGCAATATCATTGACCATTGAATTATGTTTCAACGGAAATCTATTAATAACCTTTAAAATGAAACTATTGAGTGAAATAATTCCAAACAAAACATACATTTTCCGACCATATAACAAACAATTATTCTTATTTATTTTATAATAGCGGAAAAGTGTCTGAAAAGCCCTGAAACTATTTTTCTGGTAATTTGCGTTCCAAAATGCCCAATGGATTATATAATTTTCAACGGTTAAGACCAAATTCCAATCTTTTGAGCAGGCCAACTGCCATTTGACTAATTTATGCACCGTTGTCACTAGCCGCAAATGTCATTTTGCATTTTTTCGCACAGCGAACAAACGTTTAGTCAGGAATAAACAACAATTTGTCAAAATAGTCGCTGTGTCCAATGCGGCCTGCCAAAACAAGTACAACAATATAATAGCAACCGGAGGAGAGGAACCGGTTGTCAAGTTAGCCACACAAGGCCCGAACCTGTTTGCAGCTGTCTCCTCGTGCGTCCCCTCGATTTTCGCATATTTCAATAATCAAGGGATAGCTGAGTTGTTAATTATTGACTTGTGGCCGGGACGCTTGAGAAACAGCCGCCAAAATATGCGCCAAACTGTGCTAAACGTGCCACTCGCCGTTGCATAAATCGAATCGATTTGTATCAAATCGACTCGAATCGATTCGATTCGATACGATTCGAATCGGATCGATAGTTTCGAATGCAATTGCACTTTAGCGAAGAGGCGTTCCCGGCATTTGTCAGCGAATCCACACTCCCTCGGCTTAACCCACTGCCCCCGGGGATTAAGTCGGGGTCCAGTAAACTGGGGCTAAGCTGCCAATTGGTAAATCAATTATATTTATGGCCAAGTTGCCACCTTGTGCCGCTGCGGAGCGTGTTTGCCGGCAACTAAATCAATGCAATCCATGCAACCGACAATTAAATGTGTGCCTGCAACACAATTTCCATATTTGCAATTACCAATGGTCGAGTGTTCAGAAGCAGAATGTTAATTGAATTCATAGCCTCAAATTGATTCTCGCCCCTCGAACCGCTGCCATTTGTCTCAAAGCCGTCGTCTGACAACAATTTCCCAGAAAGAAGCCGGTAAAGAATACCCCCTTGGCTTGGCGCTTGAAGTTAGCTCGAATTTCTTTCGCTGTTAACAATAAATGTTATTGGAATTTGCATTGAGCCAAACGAGACAACTGCGACTTCAGTCGACTTACGTATTCATTGTTGAATGACATGCAAATGTACGAATGACATGGCATTCGCCAAAGGCTTTTGAAACGGACCGGGTCCAGAGGGTTAGCCCCAGACTAATTGTGGGTTTCGCTGCCTGTGCTCCTCCAAACAATCAAGTGCAACATATTATGGAAAGGCACTGCCAATTGAACTTGTAAATTATACATAACAACAATACTAACTAGAGTTGTCCAGAAACTTCAAAGATATAAGAGTTAAACGACCCGGAAAATACTAAGTAGTCCAGAACCTCTTATTCTCAAATAGATTGATATTAATGAGTTAATTCTGAGTTGTAAAATTACTATAGTGATAGTTGGAAATATTCTTAAACAATTTTAATTATTTCACCCTACTATAATTGTGAAATAAATAAGATGCTTGTATTTCACTACCGCAAACCTTTCTACACTTCATGAATTCACACTCGACATTTTTCTATGCAAATTTGTATTGCCAAGTCAAATATTCAAACGAAAATCACATGGTAATTAGTCATTTTGGGTGGCCTTCTTTCCTCCCCAATTTATAGCCGTATAATTTGCTCGAGCGACTTGCGATTTTCCCCGGACCAACGGCACCGGCAACTCGATATGTGCAGAGCATTAAAATTAATGCAGATTTCTTGGCAATTGTTTTTGCATACTTTGTTTTATTTTTTCCTCACTCACTTCAATTTCAATTGGCGTGCTAATAACTCATTTAGTTCGCAACAAAAACCCGAACAACGGGCCAACAAAAAATGTAGTTACAAACATGCCACATCAACAATGGATTGGATGGCTACCCAAGATCGCTCCTTACTTCCCTTTCCTCCATCCGAATCGCATCTCATGATGCTGAGAGAATACGCGCCACACTATATTTATATATGTATAGTACTGACTGGGTGCAGTTTTGTTTTAGGCTCTGTAATTATTATAAAAATAAATTGAACTATTGTTGCCTCATTTAGATTGAACAGTGAGGCAGCCACAATGTTGCTTTTGTTACTCGGTTACACTCAATTAAGCTGATTTTGCAAAATGCAAATGCCCACAAATGAAACTCACACCTCGAAAATCATACACTCAAATTATTTTAGAAATTTAATATAATTACATTTGGTTTTTTACCCTCTGTCTTTCCTTGCAACACTTTTCCGCCTCTCATTTTGACAGCCCGAGGAGTTCAGTTGAGTTGAGTTGATCTCTTGATTGTCAGTCAGTCATTTGTGATTAGACAATCGACAGTTGCCGCCGCTATTGTTGGATAGCATAAATTATAGTCTGTCTCTACAACAAAGCTTTGCATATGAAATCCATATAATAAATCAATGTGCTGTCGTAATTTGTGTTAAGTTATTTGTAATCAATTTTAATTCCCCCCATCGCGCCCCTTTGATTGCTGATTTATGGGAACATTTTATTCATTCTGCCATTTTGTTTTATTGTCTTTTTCTGGGTTTTTCTAAGACCAATAATAAATATGATGAGAGCAACTTTACTATGACGCCTACTTTTTCAAACAATTTTTACTAATGTTCATTTATAAAGATATCTAAATTTGTTATGATTTAAAATCGTTTGTATTCCCATAACAATTTTTTAGTCTAGATCTTTATTTTTGCCTTAATTTTCTTCTTTTGTTTAAGAAATTTTCTTTATTTTCTATTATTTAAAACCTAATCATCAAACAAATCTTCCCAAAGGTTCCCACAAACTCTCCCACTCGTTTAAATCGCTAACTTTCCCGCATTCTTCAGCCGAACAAATTTAACAACAAATTAAACTCATATGAAGTCAAGTCAATCGTTTTTTTTTTGTCCAACATTTTCCACTTGGCCCGAGTAATTTGCATAGTTGTGGTCTGCAAGTCCATAGCTCTGATCGGATTGAAGCGGATCGGTAAGTCTTCGGCAAAGTACGGCTTTAGTCCAATTTAGTGGAAAGGTGTGCCCACCAGCTTGGTCACAACACGTTGTTGTGGCCCAATGGAGTTTCGCCTTTGCCTCTCCGGCATGGCTGGCTTTTGGTCGATGCCGCTTAAACGCCGTTTTAGCCAAGTTAGGTGAAAAATGTCGAGAGAGAGGAGTGGAGACCGAACTGTCAACTGTGATCAAAATCAATTGTTTGCCATTTGCCAAACCAAATTGACTGAACCAACTGCGACTCACACAAAAATGCTGACAAAATTATACGAACCCATGAAATGTCAGTGTCAATAATTTTTGTAATTATGAGCATATACGTCAAAAAAAAAACTATATGTTTAAAAAAAATCATTTTTATGGTGGGCTGCCATAGGAGAAGCCCCCAAAAAAGGCAAACAAATATAATAAAAAATTATTGCAACGTAAGTTTTGATTTCAACAAAAGGAGAATACAACTGGATGAGCTCAAGAGTGTTTTAGAGTGAAAATGTGAGGATATATTTTTGGTACCAATTAACAGTCGGTGTTTTAAATCTATTGAACAAAAATTATATAGTTTGAAGTTGAAAAATGTGTAATTTTTGCTTTGTGTTGCCTGTTGATTCTTGATCTCAATATTTATTTTAATTTATACGTTTAAGAACAATTTTTTTATACAACTTTGGTAAAATTTCTTTCTGGTCTTTCGAACGGATTCCTTTGGTATGGTATCTCTAAAAATCAATCACCACACCTGTTCCATCTACCGTTAACGCCGTTATACACCGCCAAAAATTCTTATCGAAAGAAAACCCTTTTTTCACGCTCTATTTACAACTTTCGTATTATCTTTTTTGCTCTTTTTATCTGGCATATCCTTTTGTCTTCCGCCCTTTGTGGCTCGCCCAATTTCCGTTTCGAGTTTAATTAATTCAATAAACAAATTATTTTCGCTCTAAAAACTCTCAAGTGTATCGATTCGATGCGTTTCTTTCCTTCGTAAAATATATATAAATAAAAAAAAAAAAACCAAAAGTAGGAGGAGAGAAATTATTGCCATAGTTTTTTTATTATACTTGTGTGTTTACCTCTCTGGTGGCTTGATCGATAGGCATCTGCAATTAAAAAGAGAAGAAGAAGAGACAAGTGAGGCAAAATTGTTAAACATTTTGAATAAGCTTTAATACAAAAATACTGCAACGAAACGGAAAAAAAACTGAACTAAAATTCAGTGTACTAATGTTAAGAAGGGAAGTTTTCATTGATGGGGTGGCTGCATTTTGGCGGGCAAGCGGGTGTGAAAATGCACACGCCCTTGTAACCCCCCAATAGCCCCTTAGCCCACCAACCGACCAAACAAATTGTAATTATCCCCAGAGAGCGCTGCCTTCAGCGGTTTCGCATTTCCTCTTTCGCTCTTCCAACTTGTTTCAATTTAGCGCAAAACTTTTTCAACCTAATAATAGGTTTAACCGCAATTTTAACCGTTCCTCATGTTGGGTCCGGTTCGGTTTTTAAAACCGGGAATTGTACCAAGTCTGAGTCTCTGGTTCTGTACTGGTTGGCCATTGAACAAAAATCCAATTTAAAATGGATTAAGATCATTACATTTAATATAAATTATAAAAACAATTGCCTAAAAATGTTATGATTTTCATCGTAACACAGATGGATTCCATTAAAATAACTATTTTTGCAATTAAATGAAAATCCTTAATTAGAAATTAGAATTTTGACATTTTTTCTGTAAAAAGTTACATAATGAGGTCCAAAATTATATTAAAATGTTTTCTGTGTACTTGTACTTCTCTGACCAAAGCGCATGTGCACTTTGGAGCACACTCCATACATGTGGCTCAGCCCTTTTCCATAATTAACTGGATGGTTTTCCACCGACTGCATTGTGGTCAGCGGCCAGTTCAACCCGTTCTTTACTGCAACCGGGAACTGTAAACAAAAACCCAGGACTCTCCACCGGCTTACCAAAAAAAAAAAAAAAAAAAAAACAAAAGAACAAAACAAAAAAAGCGATATTGGAATACAAGGTTGTAATCTTTTCGACTGTTGATGTCTTAATGCCGGGCAGTCGTTTTGAAAATGTTTTTGGAAAGCTTACAGGTAGGGGATGTTTAAATATTTCATAAAATATTGAGTTTCATTTGGGGCTTTAACCGAATATTAGCCTTTAATTAAATTTGACTTTGTACTTATATTTTCAGGGTTTAAAATGGTTATACTACTTAAATAAAGTTCAAACTTTGTTATTGCATAATGAAATATAAGTCGTAATAGCTTTTAGGAAGTCTTTGCAACCCTTTACTGTAATATGAAGTTGGCTTGCTTGTAAAACTTTATGTAACCAAGGACAATGGCACTTCCTTTATGTTTTTTCAAACTGAGCTACAAAATTTAACCATGAAGAAATCTAGACCAAGTGACTCCTAGATCTCCCCCACCAATTAAAAAAAAGCAAAACCTATTTCTTTGCGCTGTTTTTGCTTGTCGTTTTTTCCACTCGAACGGAAATGAGCTGACAGGGCACCGCACACGTCGATTGCAGAAAACATCGGATAGAACCGGAGAAAAAGTTGTAGAAGGTGGAAAACTGTTTCACCAACTATTGTTAGAGGCGCTCAAAGGAATTACGCAGCTTTCGGATAGTTAGCAAAGGGTTACGGGCACCGCTTTACGTTTGCATTGCGTATTTCCGCCAAATGTCATCGGAAAACGGCAAAAGGCGAAATGCGAAACGAAAGTTTTTTGATTGCTTGGGTTAATCGATATCGATGCACAAACTATTTGCATACCGCCCGTTGCGATATATAAAGTGAGGGAGGCGGCGGGTGCAAGTTGAGTGCGTAAGTTGGCTAAAGCGGAAACAGGAAATGAGAAAATTTTGCAGAGTAAACCCCGAACTAGAATTGCAACTAACTGGGCACATGCACTCAACAAAATTTAGATTAAAAAGTTAAACAAAAATGTAATTTAACTAAATAAATAAAAACATGGCAAAGCAATTAAAATAAATTCATATTTTGTTATAATGTTTTTCGATTAACATAAACCCATAATAAAATGCCAACTCTAGCACTAAGTTTTATTTTTTGTCATTTAACAACAAATTTACAAGGGGATTGCGTTCGTATTCAAAAATTCAAAATCATAAAGAAATCAAGTGTCTTTTTAAGAATTAAAAACTCAAAATCTTTTCAAATATAGATTTTTTAATTTAAGGAGATTTTTTCCCTGACCAATTGATAAGAAATATTTCCAAACAAAAAAAACCAAAGAGTTAGAGCACCGCTAACAAAAAACAATACAAGATCGTACCACTTTTTTAAAAACAGTGACGATTTAAAAACAAAAAAGGTCTATCGAATCAAAGCCAATTTTAGATCAAAGCCCTTGACTACAAAGCACTGATCAGTGAAATTAAAGTGATTGCATGAAATAACAATAACCGCCCAATTGCGTGTGGGACTCGTGCCGTTGTTTTTTCTTTCGTACCTGGCCGTGGTGCAGTCCCTGTAGAGGACGTCGAAATCCTTGCAGCACAGCAACTTGCAGCGATTGACGCCCGGCTGAATGGCGCCCAGTCCTCGCAGTATGCGCACCTGTTCCACATTGCAGACGAGCGGTACGATGTCCAGTCGCTTTAATTTGGTATAGACCGTATGCAGACCGCCCACCAGGTGCTTTAGGAAAAGCTCAAAGGCCTGCGGCAGGCAGAGCATGGTTTCGTTGCTAATTATGAAAGCGGCGACCTTCTGACCCCGGTACTCCACCAATTTGCACTCATTGGCACTGGGATCCGAGGTGGAGATTGGGGGCGGTGAATTGTACGACCTTGGCGGCACATGATGATGGGCGGCGGCCATCAGTTCCAAGGGGGAGGCGTGGTGCATCATCTGCAGGGAGTTGAGGAGTCCCAGCGAATGGGGCGGCAGTCCATGGGGCATTCTTGGGGGCAGACCCGTCGGCAGTCCATTGCCCGATGGCATTCCATGTGGCGGGGGGCTCAGCTGGTGGTGTTGCTGTTGCTGCTGCTGTTGTTGCTGCTGCTGCTGCATCTGCTGCATCATGGAGTGGTTCATGGAGCTAACAGGACTCACGGCACTGGGATGACGGCTTGGGGAGCTGGCCGGGGAGCAACTGGATCCGCGTCCTTGGTGAGAACTCCTACCATTCGGGCGATCCTCGTTGGCCCCACGCGAGCTGTTGCTCCCGTCGCGTCCATTGTGTTGCTGCTGCTGTTGCTGCTGCTGCTGCTGTTGCTGCTGGGCTGCTGCGGCTGCTGCTGCTGCGGCGGCTGCCTGCTGCTGCTGCTGGTGGTGCATTAACATGGCGGTGGTGTTCATATTGCCCGTGGCTCTTTCAATACCACTATTATTGTTATTAATTGCGCCCGTTTTATTGTTGTTCTTTTCACTCTGTTCACTTGTCACAGAATCCATACTTCATCATGGCCAACACTTTTGTTTGTTTACTTTTTAAACGATTTTTTTTATTTGGTTTTTTCTATCATGAACAAAATTAACACAAAGTTAGAGAGAAATAGAAGAAAGGCGATGAGAGGGAGACAAATAATTAATGAACTCTTAATTCATTTATAATTATTTATTAGGCTTCTCTATGCAAATTCTGATTGGGTCTGTTTTTCTTTACATCCGTGAGTTAATGGCTTTAAATATTTCTAAAATTCTTTCATTTTTTTAGTTCCAATTTGTAAAATTTAAGCTTAAAATTTTGGCTAAATTCGATTTTCTAATACTCTGATTGTATTACAAAATGTAAGGTACATTTTATCGGAATTAATAAGTCTAAAAACCGTATTCCTAAAAAGTCTATTCCAACTTCTGTGACTGATTGAAAAATTAAAAACAAAAGAACATCCAATTAAACAAATTTACGAAGAGGATTTGGTCATAACTAGTTTATAATGAGGATATTTGTGTTAAAAAAAGGTCATAAACGATAAAATGATCAAATAGTTAACTTTAATAAGTTTAGGTAAAGAAATTTATCTTAAATTTATTATAAATAAAAAAAATTGACTTTTTAAGCTCTTAAACCAATTTGATTTGAAACTTGATCAGATGACACTTTGTCCATTTGATATATATTCAATTCTAAGAAAGTTCTAAGGAACATTTCTACGATTAGATAAAGCTTAGATAGATAAAGTATATCACGTTACATCATAGAATTAGCAGTCATCTTTCATTGGATACGTTATTTGATAAAGAATTTATCATTTTCCAAAATTTTTAAAGAACATTAATTTGCATAAATCTACCTATAGTCAGCCCTATTTTTAAGATTCGATAAAGAACATAGATTTACCTTTAAGGGGTCTAAAAGTAATTCTTAAACTCAAAATCACTTAACACAAGTCACTCGCGCACTTTGTTTTTTTGTGATTTTCACTTTAAATTTCGCCGTAAAATATATGATTTTCCAATATTTTTGTTGATATTCCGATTGCCCGTAAGATCGAGTGTTCAAATAAGCGTATTCGTACTGGAATTTTGGAAACCGGAGCGGAGTCCGTTTTCGAGTACCGTTCCGACGGATTGTCACTGAGAGATTGAGAGATGCCAGCTACTCCTCTGCGACGGCGGCGTTTGCGTCGCTGCCTCTGCCTCTGGTTCCTCCTCCCCCTCTCTTTCGCGAATTGGAGAAATCAACGAAACGAATTGCATTCGAATGGGAATCGACTGAGAGCGGGATGGCAGGAGGCGGCAAGCAGGCGAGCGCGAGCGAGAGGGCACGGACGAGTGCTATTTTTTTAGCCCACCCACACACACGAAGCGCTACCGTTATGTACTAAGAGAAATGCGCGCGCAAAAGTTTTATTGCATTACCTTCGCTTGCGAATGACAAATTCGTAATGAAAGGCGAGTTTCGATTCAATTCGTTTCGGATTTTCGTGGCAGCGCCGCCGGCTGCGCAGCAACAGAGGGCGTGTATGTATATGTGTCTGTGAGAGCGAGCTGGGCTGGTGTATCTGTATCTGTACATGCGATTGTGCAAAACCAGAATACGAATACGAATACGAATAAGAATACGAATACGAATACGAGTTGCGTTTTACGAATGTCTGTGGCACGTCTCGCATTACACCAATACAAGGCCAAAAAGGGGAGTGGTATATGCGATTGATCGGTGTGTTTGCATTTGTGTATTTCTGTGTGCAACCCCGAAAATACAATGACAAACGTAAATCGCTCTCTCTCTCTTTCGCATTTGTTTTATTTATTTTTTCAATTCGTTTGTGCAAGTTCTTCAAATCCTCCCTCTCTCTCTCGCTCCCCCAAAAAAAACCTTTTTTCATTTCAATTTCATTTCGTTTCATCGTGGACCCTCTCTCTCACACTCTCTCGCCATCTCTGTCGCACGCACTCAGGTGGGCTGCAACCAATAAACATGAGCGAGCGAGAGAGCATCATATTTGCATAGCCAGTTGTATATGTTTGCTCTCTCGCTTACTCCTATGGCCGACGCCTTATATAAACAAATGACAATTGTTTTGGCATTTTTTGTTGCAAAGTAAATTAAAATAAATGCATTGCCAGAATAAAAAGTAAAAAATTGCTTTTACTTGGAGTTTGCGCAGCTGTCTTTGACAAAAAGCATTTTAATTTCAATTAAAAAAGTAAATGACAAACTTTCAACGAATTATACTTTTCGGGGCAGTGCTGCTATCTCTTTCTGCTTTGATTTTTTTTGTCAACCGTTTTCCGTTTCCCATTCGTTTCCATTCGAGTCCCGTTTATTTGTATTTCTTTTTGTGTTTCTGATTCGGAGGAGTGCGACACTGTTGCAGGCTAGCTCTCTCCCACTTGGGTAGAATACGATAATGGGGTTTTTTTTCGCCTGGGGGCGTTCGTTTTTCGTATTTCGGCTGCTTATAAATAGCATTGCTTATAAATTCTGGTCTCGCACCTTTGCCACCTCTATATGTTTATGTACAATGTATCCGAGAGCACGGTCATTTTTCTATTATTTGTCTTCGTTTCGCCTTCTGCGATTCTTCTCCATAACGATTTCCATTCCGTCGCCGAACCAATCGCATTCCGTTCTCTCCATTTGTTTCGAGAGAGTTCCGTATATATCTTTCTATATGGCAATGGAATACGTCTTTATGTATTGTGTTTGCACATGACGTATGGATTTTTCTTATTCGTTTCGTTTGGGGCTTTTTCTTTTGTGGATTTCCTCTGCTTCTGTCTTTTAGATGACAGCGACCATTTGATATTAAATTGATTGCAAATATGCAGTTCCAAGACCTTTTAAGAAATTTTTGTGTCGTTAGGCTAATCGCGTCTTTATTACGATTTATTGAACTATCAAATTTGGTTGTCCGAAATACAAATTACTTATATTTTAGTCAATAATATATTATATAATAAAAAATGTGATTTTTGTAATATTGTAATTGGTTTTTCTTGTTGTTACTCTGTTTTTCTTCAGTCAAATATTTGGTTCTTGTACCAATGGGTACTATAATAATGTGTTGGTTGCATACTTTTGTAATACAACATTTTCTACAATTTTTAACTTTTTGTGCTAGGTATTCAAGTTACCAATTTTGCTCCCAAAAACTGCATATAAAAAAACGCCACCAAAATGTTGACACGAAAATCTGCGTGGTATTTACTAAATAGTTCCTAAATAGTTGTTTTTAAACTAATACATTAATATTTCTAGTGCTACAATTATGGCAAATAATATATGATTTACTTGATGTGTGGATGTTTTTAGATAACTAAACATTTGATTTCAAACTTTTTTAATCTACAGTCGTATACTTTAAAACCTTAGTGGACTTTTCATGCTGGTTATTATAGCATTTGAATTGTAAATAAGTTTTTTTTAAATAGTACTTTTAAGAAAACCTTTTTATAAAAAAATACTCTATTTGAATTGAAAATAAACAATCACGTGTAAGTTCAATAAACGCGCCATAATTGTACGACAAAAAGTGCTCAGCATTTGTCAGTGAGCTGCATGGCAGGGAGCTATCGTCAGTGAGAACACGGCGTACTGTATGTCTCGACATGTGGCGTTGCCAAGTTTAAAATGAAACCGCCTCACATTGTAAGTGACGACTTTTTCGTGTAAATTTAAAACAACAATATAAACATTTATTATGTGTTAATTAAATTAATTAATTTATTAAATCAACACTAAACAAGATAGGCTTTATACATTCAAGTTTCAATTCTATAGAATAGAAGGTTTAATTACATCAGCACAACTTAAGTAACTGAGATAGATGGGTTTGACTACTGTGGACTTGAAAGCGACCAACCTCAACAGCAGGTGCCTTAAGGCATCTTCCAGAAGCTATCAGCGATGACTTCGCCACCCCAGCATACAGTATTCCCAATGATAAGGCAAAATTCGCTGCCCATGTATTACAAGATGTCTGGCGTCTCGAGAGTTCAGTGTGCTTGCAGCTATCATGTGGGTTATCTGCCTTTTATTTGCGCCAATTGTGGCAGCCAGTTACAATACAAGGCTGCTAAATAACATCCTTAGCTATGTGGACGACGATTCCAATGCCTGTGGACACTTTTACAATCATGTCTGCGGCAAGTACAATGTACGCCACATGGATGATTCCTTCTACGACATTATCCAAATGCTGGACCACCAGGTTAACCAGAACTTCGTTAAACTAATGGAGGAACTGGAACTGCGGCAGAGTTTTCAATCGCCGGGCTTTAATGAGTCTAGTGTGCAGGCTAAAGTCCTCCGTTTCTACCTCAGTTGCCGTGAAACCCAGCGAAATATGAGCAGCTTAGAGCAGTACCTCAATCTGGCTTCTCCAGGCGAAGGACTCACCTGGCCCCAATTCACTCCAAATGGTAGGACGTGGCCCCAGAAACCGTTTAAATGGCTGGAGACCGTTGCTTATCTGCACCGATACGGCCTAAACCATGTTTTCCTAAACCTAGACGTCATATTGAACCCTCACAACGCCAGCGAATATCGATTGGAAATCAGAAAGCCCAGTTTTGCAGAAGATTCACAACACTTGCACAGTTTTGTGGAAACACTGGCCATTCTCTACATCTTGAAGGTCCCGTCAACTGAAATCGTACCTCTAGCACGAAAGATCCGAAATCTGGAGTTTGATATAAAAATGTTGGCCAAAGAATACGATTTTGTTGAGAGTGGACTTTTCAGTGTGAAACAATTGGAAAGCAGAACCGGTCACAACTGGCAGCGATTCTTTGAGATAACAGTTGGCCACAGTATTACACCAGAATTCCGGGTGCTGGCACAGCATTTAAGGTACTTCACTTCACTTAAAAATCTGATGGACAAACAGCAAGATGCACAGGTGGTAGCCAGCTATATAATGACAAGATTTGCATTATATATACTTCAAGACACAGAGGACAGCAAAGAGCCCATCGCTTGCATCACGGATGTTCGCCGAAGCATGAATCTGGCCGCCAATCTGCTTTATAGGGAGCGCTTTCTAGAAACCTCAAACTTAAATACCTACATCCATGAAATTAATAACATTTTCGAGCAATTGCGCCGCCAGTTCCTGCTGCAAGTCGAACACAATCGCCTCGAGTTAACCGACACCCAGAAGAGATATATCGCTCGGAAGGCAGAGAGTATAATACTCAACATTGGAAACTTTCCAATAACCGATGATCTTCACAACTTTGTCAGTCGACACTACAAGGAATTGGAGTTTTCCTCCGGAGACCTTGATTTCCATCGTGATCACCTTAAGTTGCTGCAATTTCGCATCCGAAAGATAATGGCACAACTCCATAAAAGTGCACCAAGACGAGAAAAATATTTTGACTTACCCGAACCAAGCTTGGCCATATCCTCCAACTCGTATTATGTGGTTCGTCAGAACGTCATTATCCTGCCGCTTGGACTTCTTCAAGAGCCTTTCTTTGTGCCGGACAGCGACGATGTGTTTAAGTATAGCCTGATGGGATTTACTCTGGCACATCAGTTAATGAATGCCTTTGACACCAGCGGCATCACAGTTGACAGCAATGGAAACGATCAAAAATTCAAGTCACAGCGGTTCGACGAAGCTGTGGAGTGCATGTATCGCAACGGAACACGAAATATAGATGAACGCATAGTCGATAAAGGCGGTCTGGAGCTGGCCTATACTACATATTCTAAAAATGGCAAGAACCGAATAGACTTCACCCATCTGCAACCGGAAAAGATATTCTTCCTCAGTTTGGGGCAGTTCTTCTGCGGAAATAGCGATTTTAATGCAGAGTACAAAGATGACCAGGAGCGTTTGCAGCAACTTCTAAACGGTTTCGAACCCTTTGATGAGGTTTTTGGATGCCGCCGAAATGGCCCTCAGCTCGAAAAGTGCCAGCTGTGGTGAGGTCACTTCACAAATATTATAATTTTCTGCTTATTTTCATATTTTTTAAAGTACCAAAAAAGCCATGTATTTATTCTTTTGTTATTTATTTATGTTACCATACGAAATGAATACATCAATTTATGGTATATTTGAAGGAACAACAATCAGAAGATAAATAGTTTGTTGACTTTTAATGCAACCCGAAAGGAATTTATCCCTCGTCTCCTATATGAGTATTATATTATATATATATATATATATTATATGTAAAACCGTTCAAATTTGGCGGTTAGTAACCGGCTTGCGTCTTGACTAAACCGTAGCGAAGACAGCAACCGTACGTTGTGGTGCCAGAAGCGTTGGCAAGAAAAAAGCTGATTCCCAAAATGAAAATGCATTGTAAGAATCACATGTAAGTATATGTATAAAAATGTGTATACAAATATTTATTTTTTATTCATTTTTTTAGACTCTATAGCCAATTTCATTTAGGGTATCGGCTTTGTCCCATTCTTTCATTATTGCAAACAAAACATTTACCTTTAAAATAGCTAGACGGGCCACTTTTCCGATAAGGTTGTTTATTTAGACATTCAAGTTTTGGTCACACTTTTTCCTTTTCGTATGTTTCCCTCGCACTGCACGCTTTTTTCCGTCTGTTCGGGTCGTTTGGCTATTCGAAATAAAAATTTCAAAATTAACAACTAATTGGCCAGCGACGTGCAATCAAATCAGAAGCGAAGGCGGAAACATCGAGAGAAGGAGCGCGTGAAGAAAGTACCAGAAATCCGGGAGTTTTTACGCGGCGCGCGTGCAACACACACACATTGGCACACTCTATACGTGCGATTGACGCAAAAGCGAAAAAACAGTGAAAAAAAAGGAATTGACAAATAACAACGTTTGGCAAGCATTGAACTCTGGTCGCTGTTCTCGTTCTCTTCGAAATAGCCACGCATGGACGACGAAGTCATCGAAATTAGCGATAGCGAACGCGAGGAAACCTCATCAAACTCCGATATGGACGTTGAATTAACGGTGGAGCAGCCAGTCGACGCCAACGTCGCAGCGGCAGAGGAAATTGTTCCCAAGGACGCTGCAACGTAAGTACAAAAAAAACAAGCGGAAATCGTACAATGGCTCCTAAACCGACGATAACAGTTCACCTGAAAATGTGCCTTAGAAGTGACTCATAAACTGTCGCTGTGTTTATGCGAGGTTACTTGATAAAACAGTGTGCCACACTTTCTCGAATTTAAAATAAATACAATGGATCAAAATCTACAGTGCAGTACCTCTGTGTAAAACACACTTCTGATAGAATGATCGCATATACATACGTAGTAATATAAATGTTTGGTTTAATTTGAGAACTAATAGTTCTGCAACTTTGTAACTGAGCAATTGCAGTCAATCCCAAACTGTACGATAACAGCAAGGTGTTAAAGTATGTGTTTGCATTGCTGTTTTATGTAATCTCATTGCCCGGGGTCTCTACCTCTATACCACTCACTCGCCCAGCCCCTCTCCCCCTCCCTGACGCACCCATTTGACATGGTCATGGGCAGCAGCCAAACGTAGCAAATAAATATAGAAAAAAAGAAACAAAACGTCAGCGACGCCAACGCACACGCCCTGCAGTTACAGTAGAGCTTCATTAAGACGACTTGATGAATTGTTCTTGTTTTTAATTTCAAATTAAAATATAATTATACATAATTCAGGTTTTAATTGTTTTTCTAAATTGAGAAATCGTAATTTAAATTGTATAACCACGTTTTAAGTTCAAAATTTCTATATCCAATAATAATAAAAATAATTTAAAAAAAAAAATGTATAAAATGGGAAAAAAATGTTTTTGGTTTGGAAGGCCTGACTGTAACTTCTTTGTTGTTGCTAGGTGTGCTTTGTTTAGTTCTTGTTGCAAACTGGTTTTACTTTCTGCTTGCCGCCCAATGTTTTTCATTGCCTTTGTGTGTGTGTGTTGGAACGTTAAATTTTGAAATTCAAGACTTTGATTTCACAAGCCTGTATTTAGGCAACAGTTTTAGAGTCGCTGTCTGGCATTTAAAGAAAGATGATAGAAAAACAAGCTTCTAAAAAAATGCATCAAAAAAGTGTTATAAAAAAAATAGAATACCTAGAAATTGTCATTTTAAGCTAAACCTAGAACCATTAAACACTTAAATTGCGCACATTTTTGCTAATTTGCCAACATAAACAATATAAATTCCATTTCGCCACGCTTCATTTACGTTTATTTTCTTTTCCGTTGTTTTGACACAACGGCAAACAAGGAGAAATAAGAATTGATATTTGCATTCAATAAAATGCGATTGCATTTATTTCCGTATTTTTGGACAATCAAAGTTGACACTCAAGTGAAATTGTCAGTGCGATCAAAAAAAATAATATATATTTGGCAATACAAGTTTTTTTTATATTTTGTGCAATTCGTTTTGTGTTTATTACGTTGTTTCCGCTAGAATTTGCGTCACTTATTGTTGTTTACCGTGAGTAATCGCAAATAATACAATATAAAATACATTGTGGATAGATAAGATTTGCATAGACAGACAGGTAATTGATTAAAAGGGGGATACCATCTTATGGCCCTGAATTTCGTGTGAAGAACTGACCCGATCAACTGATCAGCGTTCAAAGTCAAATACAGTCATCGCCAAAAGACCGAAAGAAAGACAAAGCCAAGAGTTGCGGGCAACCTACACACGCTTCTGAAAAAGTTGGCCAAAAAACTTAATGTGAATGAACCTGAACCCAAGCGCGAAAAAATATACTCTTGGCTTTCAGGCTTTCAGGCCTTCAGCATTTTTCTAATTTCCATTAGTAATTTTGTTTCACCTTTTAGAGTTCAAGGACTGGGCAAAAAAAAGCGGAAAAATTTCTCTTGTCTGGCCAAAGTGACTCATCCCCTCGCAAAAAACGATGTTTAGTATGATTTTTTGTTGTTTGCACTTACTTGGAAACTTAATAATGACGATGGGAAGACCAGATGATGAGGGGAACCCGTTTGCACATCTACTATGAGTCAACCCGTTGATAAATTAGAAATGCCGACCCCGATAAATGGGGAAATTTCAAATTTTTTCAAGGCAGATGTTACAGCATAAGCCTATTGATTTTATTCGCCATGGAAAAGAAAGGGTGGCTGCTGTTAAATATTTATAGACACCGTTTCGACATTTTGGTCCAGTCAAGTTCAAGGTCGTTTGGGTGTGGCAAAAAACGGTCAGAGAGTGAAGGGTCGTATATAATCTATAAACGCTTAACAAGTGTAAACTACATTTTTAGCAGTGTTCTTAATCTTTATAAAATTGTAAAACATAGAATAAACTTTACTTTAGTGATTAGATTTAAACATTATCACATACTGATAAGGAAATTGTGAACATAACTGATTAAGTTGTGGACTTTCTAAGTTTAGTTTGGGTCAGTTCTATGATTGTTTTAGAAATCACAGCTCAAGGTTGTATTTATGAGGTAAATAATAGCAAAATCATCGAACTCTCAACAAACGTTTATAGGCTCGTTCTATGCTTTATTTATATTTTGTAAAAGTATTTAAACCTTAAACTTCTTAGGGCCATAAAATCTGCCCTTTCATTAGATAGAGACTTTGAGTACATTTAACTTATCTTAAAGCACAGTTTTACCAGCACTTTGCTCTATTTATTGGCCATCACAAAGTTGCTAACGCTTTCCACTGCGGACGTCATCAACCTAGTTTCGACCCAAAATTCGCCTTGCGCTTACTTTTTCGTCTACTTTCAATGTTGCCATTGCAATGGGTAAACTTTTTGCCAACTATAACTTCGGGCAATTAGCCTCCAACTACGTAACTCTCGAAAAGTTATTGCTCGACTCCAGTTAAAGTGGGTCAATTAAATTATTGATTCGACACGAGCCTAGAAAAAAACACAAAAGAACTTAGAAACATGAGCGAACAATTTGATGGTTTTCAATATTAAAGATCTTGATAGTTTCAAGAAGCTCTAAGCGGATGTTGTGGGTTTTTATAAAGTGGCCGTCACTTGAAGACAATAGCAAGATAGCTTTAAATTACGTAATGCTCAACTTGCGCGGGCCAGCGCCTATTAAACATTTTTGGTCAGGTAATTTTTCAATTAAATTTATGGTTCTACAATGGGTTTTGTATGTCTCGAGAAGTGTGTGAATTTTTGAAATGGCAAATAGCTTTGGATAGAATGACAAGGTCAATATCTAATCAAAGATAAACAGAGGGTTTAAAAAATTGTAAAATGCTTTATCGTCTTTAGATTTTTTCCCTGAGCCGGAAACTCCATTGATTGCCACTCAAGTCTTATCATATCGTAAACATTAAGTTAAATGCATTGGAAAATTGCTCAATTTCCCCCGGCAGAAAAGAAAAAACCCGATCTTTCGTAGATCATGTCAAAAAGCCTAGGCAACTGTCATCTGCTACCCATGAGAGTCTCTTGTCTTGTCTTGCCTTATCTGTCTGAATCGAATGTGGAAGCCAGTTATGCCAGTCTGCCGCCTCTAACGACTTCGAAGCAAGTTTTTACACATTTGTAGGTACACAGGAATAAATTTGAACATAACAGTACAAATATACACATGAGTTTTTAAAGTACTGCTGTAGCCTTTCTGAAAATCAATGTTAGCTATTTCTAATACTTATAAAATAAATAGGAAACAATCCCTATTTAAGCCCTTGTTTTCCTATTAATAATAAAGGGGTTTAAGTTTCTGTTGAAGATACATTTTTTTGCTGTGGAGTCAAAAAGACAGCAACCGGGAAAATTCATTTCCATTTTCAATTTCAAACTGTAGGTGTTGGCAGAATGTAAATAAGCACTTAACTAAATGGCGCCATTATAGTTTGAAAGCTATTACAAGTTTTATCATTTAAATTTACAGTTTAACGGAAACTGGTTAAGCCCATTATCTTTTTTTTGCGGCTTCGTTATCTTAGTTCATTTGGGAATTTGTGGTTATTTTTCTGCAAATTTTAA